CTAGAAAAAAGGGTGAAGGAGAATCTATGGCATGTGAGAAGTTAGTGGATTGACTCAAGAATTTTATACCCAGCCAAGTGATCATACAGAAAAGAAAAGAAAGACATAGTGATATGCAAAAATGTATACTACCATGATACTCATCATGGCAAATGTGGTTTGGAGATATGCTCACAGTGACTGAGTAGTTAACCAAAATAAATTATTCATGACAAAGAAACAATAATTTAAAGACAAATATTGGTGACTGTGGATCACAAGTACTAAATTTATAGAGTCAAGCCTAACTCAGTTCAGTAGGGATAGAAAATATATAAAAATTGAAACATACTGAAATAAAGGATGTAATTTAAAAATAATAAACCATTTCAAGGAAAGCAAAATAAATCTAAGGACAAAAGAAGCTAAGCAAGAAATGTAATAAATTTTAAGATTAATTAATTACAACCACACATAATAGCATTAATAAATAAACATGAGAACTGGTATTTAGGAAGACACAATAAAATAGACAAACCATTATTAAATCCAAATTAAGAAACAAACAAATGAATAAATATGCAGTATTGGATGTGAGAAATTAGAGATAGTATCAGAAGAGACTTAAACATTAGAAAATTAGAGATGCATGGCCTTACATGAAATCATTGGGAAATGTAATGAGTTCTATGATTTTCTGGGAAATTAAAATAACAAAAATAAATGTAAGGATTAGGAAACTTTAGCAAGTCAGTAGCTCTGGGAAATATGGAAAAAGAATCGTCAACACACACATCTCCCAAAAGAACATTATGCCAAGTTATTGTGCAAATTCTGCACAGGTTTGGGGTTCGCTTGTTATTAGTATCTATGGTTTGATTCAGAGCATGCAAAGCATTGAGAAGGTCCTCCACTCACACATGCTACACCCACATCAAAGCCCACAACAGATGGCGTCTCCTAGCTTGATTTCTCCTATTGCAGTGAACACCATGAGCAAAAGTAAACTGGGGAGGAAAGGGTTTAGTTCATCTTACACGTCCATGTCGCACTCCATCACTGAGGGGAGTCAGGACAAGAACTCAAGCAAGAGCCGAAGCAGAGGCCACGAAGGAGTGCTGCTTGCTGGCTCTCTCACTGGCACCTGTGTTGCTGGGGTTTTGTATGGGCCCGACCCACCTGCCTATAGACGACACTTCCCACCATGGGCTCCTTCATCATTTTGCAGTCAAGACAGTACTCCACAGACCAATCTCTGGAGGTAATTCCTCACCTGAGGTTGCCCCTCCCATAGAGACTCAGAGTTGTGTCCCATTGACAACCAAGATTAGCCATCACATGGTACAAAAACTGCTACATAGGTAATTATTTCATGTATTCAATTATATTTTTTTCTGTTTTCTATTTTATTATGTCATATAATTAACTATAATTATAATATATAATTAATTGCATATGTAATTTATTTGTGAAGAAACTGTTAGTAGCCTAAATCAAATGAATTTAAACACAAAATAAGAATCCTGGGTATTTTGCAGAAGTCTAAGGGGGCTTAACATTAAGTACCCATTAGTTTGATCTATCACATCACAATAAGATACTAAAGTTAATTTTAAAATGTGCATGCAAGAGACTGTATTCAGAGAAGGCAAAAGAAATTTCCATACATTTCAACATCCGTTCCTTAAAGCATATATATCCTGATGCACTTGAAGACTAGCAGGACACTCCCTTCACAGTCTGAAGATGGGTTCTCCAGCAACAGTGAGCATCCATGGACTGCTGGAACCCAAACACATGCTCATTTAAGTCAGAGTAAGAGAGTGGACACTAGGCATTGTCTTGCACATTCAGACGATGCTGGGAGCCAGGAACAATAAACATCAATTACACAAAACATAAAGGAGGAAGGGTGCTCATTAGTTATTTATAACCACTCATTTCATAAATCATTAGCTAACAGCTCTGTTACATCATATGTTGTGAACCGATGGAAAAATCCACATAGCTTAAAGCCAATTCAATAAACTCACCAGGTACAGAACTAGCAGTCGGGATGAAGTTGGATGCCCAGAGCCAAGTTAGCATAGGTCACATCCAGAAGAACACGAGCAAATGCAACACCCAAAAATAATTAGAGAATGTTTATCTTTTCTATTATGACTCAAAAGTACTGGTTTTATCATATGCTACACAAATGAAAACTTCTTTAGAGTTCCCTGTCGGCCCGGAGCATCCTGGGAGAGCATGTATTTATTCCATGGGTCCATGCTCACCTCCCCTTGTTCACAGTTCAACACTAGACCACTTTCTCTTCAAAACCTTCAAGTCATACTTTCTTAACATGGAAAAGGCAACCAGTTCCTCCTGCTTAATTGATATTTATGATGGACACAATTCTAGCTGAAATATCTTTTTCTTTTTAATTTGGAGTAGGTAACTAAAGTGAAAAAGCACTGTTGGGGATGATGATGATGATGATGATGATGATGATGATGATGATGATGATGATAAGAGGGCTGGAAAGATAGCTCAGTAGTTAAAAGCACTGGCTATTCCTCAAGAGGACAGAGTTCAATTCCCAGCATGGGCAGCTCACAGCCACCTGTAATTCCAGCTAACACACTCTTCTGGCCTCCTTGGGCACGGTGTTCATGTGCTCATACCCACACCCAGACATCTACCTAAATAAGTACTAAGTGTTTATTTTTAAGACAAAAGGAAAATGTTGTGTATTGCATGTGGTGAATTAGGATATACCACATTAATAGCCACTCAAGGAGTGTGACGGTGCTTCGTTCTAGCCAGACTTGCTTGTGTGCTTAGGTTTAAATTTCACACAAGAATAGAGCAGCCGAGGTGCAACACAGAGGCAGAACTCATGCCCAGCATGTGCCAGGCCCTGAGTTTGATTCCTAGCCTGTAAAAAAAGAGAAAGAAGAAAATAATAGTCACGTTCAGAGACTCATCATGGTCCTATAGATGAAGTTGGAAAGCAACAGATTATAAAAAGAAAGGCTTGGTTCCAACTTGGGTAGGTCAAATTTAAATCAGAGTTTGCGAGAGAAATAGTGAACTAGAAAGCTGGGGAGCAGATGAGCACTGAAGCTCTGGAAGTGTACAAGGGTTGCATAAACATCAGATTTGGGGTGAAACTGCAGTGGTCTGAACGATTGCGTCCTGACAGGATTCATTGGTGACTGACCCCAAGGGGATGAAATCGGAGGTGAGGCCTTTGGAAGCAGTTGGAAAGGAGCGGAGCCTTCCTGAAGGGGACTGAGACAGGGGAGAAGACAAGGGAGTTTGGGGGAACATGAGAAAGGAGATGGGGTGCCCACTCTCTCCTTCCTGAATTTCCTCCCTTCCCATGTTCTCATGTACCTTTTTTTTCCCTCAATGCTGTTAGTAAACTCTCCAACCCTGCTACATTATACTGCCTAGTCCTGAAATTCTTTTGGACATTGGAACCATAATTCTCCTTGGTCTCAAATCAAGATATTAGGGGCTCTCCTACTGATGGGAACCATGTCCAGAGAAATGCCTCCAATCTTGCATCCTTGAAGTTCGGAACAACAGAGGCAGTGAGCAGAAGCTGTCTTCTGCCTTGACCACAGACTTCCCAGTCTCCTGAACTGTGAAGGAAGTCTCTGGTTGTTCCTACCTTTTCTTACAGTACCCCAAACTGACAATGGCAAGAAACCTTAGCAGAAATCCTCACTACATCTGGCCAGATAAAGCCTTAAAACGTTCTCATCAAACACCACCATCAGTAAAATTAAAATACTGTATGAAAGAATGGTTTGCATACACATCAATGAGGAACATTAATGGCCCAAAGACTTAAAGATAGCCAACAGATTAAAACACAAATGCACGCACTCGTGTGCACACACACATAGGCAGCATTCATAAATAAATTCCTTGAAGAACAATGCATGTGTAACTGACCAAATAAGTCATTTCCATTCCTTACTAGTAATTTTAAACAAATAATTAAAATTAATTAAGGAGTTAAATTTTTGTCTATGACTATTTTGGAGCAAGGAAGCCATTGATCCCCAATGCTAGGAGGGCCCTGCCCATCAGGCTCCTGGGTAAAGCCTCCCACAAGGAGCTCACAGGCTTGGTGTATCTTAGTAGTCAGGAAAAATGTTCATTAGTCAAGAATAGAATCCATTTCCAGTAAGGAGAAAACCAAGTATTTATTCACTTTTGTTGATAATTTCACTCTTATAGAACTATTTACTATATACCATTATTATTCAGTTAAAGACAAGTTTATAGAAATGTTTACCATAATAAATGTTTAACATAATAAAATATGTAATTTAAATGTTTGCCGCAGTAAAATATATAATTTAAACAAATGGAAATGGGGGCTGCAGAGATGGCTCAGCAGTTAAGAGCACTGGTTGCTGGTGCTGAGGACTGGAATTCAGATCCCAGCCCCTACACTGGGACTCCAGTCCAAGGTGGGGGGGCAGTCCTATCCCTTTTCTGGTTTCTGTGGCCACAAACACAGACATAAGTACATAATAAAATCAACATTTTAAAATGACAAATAGGGCTGGGCAGTGGTGTCACACACCTTTAATCCCAGCACTCAGGAGGCAGAGGCAGGCAGATCTTTGGGTTTGAAGCTAGCCTGGTCTACAGGTTGAGTTCCGCTACAACCAAGGCTACACAGAAAAGCCATGTTTCTAAAAATAAGTAAGTAGGCCGAGTGGTGGTGGCCCATGCCTTTAATCCCAGCACTCAGAAAGCAGAGTCAGGCGGATCTCTGTGAGTTCGAGGCCAGCCTGGCCTACAGAGCGAGATCCAGGACAAGCACCAAAACTACACAGAGACACCCTGTCTCAAAAAATAAATAAATAAATAAATAAATAAATAAATAAATAAATAAATAAATAAATAAATAAATAAATAAAAAACAAAACAAACAAATAATAAAATAACAATGAAAATGAATAAATAAATGGGAATAAATAAAATTTAAAAATGGGAATGATAAAATGCCTAGTTCCTATGCTGGAGTCCCACTCAAGTATTGGTTGCTGCCTTGGTATGCTAGAGTCCTGGAAGAGTAACTGTTGACCTTGTTCACCAGCTATGGACTTTCTGGCACTGTCCATCACCAGGTTAGTGACATGTATCAGATTTGAAGCTAGGTTGGCTTTTATCCTGTCATTAGAGGATGGCGCATTTGAATTGTTTCTTTAGGGAACCTCTTAAAAGGAGGATGCTAGTGAGTGACCCAACTTCTTCAGGGACTTAAGATTTAGTATGTATCAGGTGTCTGCTGTGTCGACGTCTACAACAGTGAAAATTTACACTGGACTGGGAAGAGAGAACCACAAAGACCAGCTTGCTTGTAGTGAGGCTCTGAGGATGGTTGCCTTCCCTTCCCAGTCATCCAAGTGACTCTGGGAGAGCCCGTCTGAGGCATTACCACTTAACAAGGAACCAAAGCTCCTGCCCAACTGCCAACCTGGATACACTGCACACTGGTCAGTGAGCAGACACAGGTCACCACTGCAATCAAGACTGAGCTGCTACAAAGTTCTGGGGAGGGGAAAGCTCCCTCAGCAGCCTGTCATCATGAAGGCCAAATTCTTCAGCAGAGGAACCGAAGAGAAGATTAAGGGGTGTTGGAGGCACCTGTGTCCTGGTGGCTTGAAGCCACCCAAGGAGGTTCAATAAATGCTGACATTTATGGGGGGAAAATGTCTAGTAGTAAGGATTAAATTATGTCCATGAAATTACCACATAGATGGTTTTAAAAATAATTTTGTATCCAAAATATTTAATGGTAAAAGTTAATTGTTATGAATATGCCATATACTGAAGAAAGAAGATAATGATTGTGTGTGTGTGTGTGTGTGTGTGTGTGTGTGTGTGTGTGTGTGTGTCCACCCATAGAGCACATAATAAGAGCCTGCTTTCACAGAAAGGCAATTCCTCATCCTCACTATCCCTAGGGTTGGTTCCAGGCACCCAGCAGGTGCTCATGGTACCCATGGGGAATGGTACAACGTTTTTGTTTGAGCTGTAGGGGGTCCAGAGGCTTCCAGCCATTTCTAGGTCACTTAGGATGCCCAAACAATGCCCTGGACATACAGTGAACATGCATGCACTACTGCACTGTTCAGGGCGTGGTGTTTATGCCAAGGACACACATTCTATTCGCCTTGTGCAGCACTCTACCCAGGGTCTTCTGTGGTCCCACTTGTTTCCGTCTCTGACCACCAATCTTCTCAGTAGTGCGACATCTCCCATCTGCAGAGTACACCCCTGTCGTGCACTGTTCTGTTACTGGCAGTCCCCTGTGTCAGCTCCTTCTCCACTTTATTCTCACCAGGCTCTTCCAGGCTAACCCAGGTCTTTCTCAGCGCTCCCTCCCGAGCTTTCTGCCACTGGCCAACACTGCCCATCTGCCCACCGATTGCTCTGGCCTACTCACAGATCTTTATATGCCAAGGACAGTCCGACTCCCAAGGGAGCAAAGTCTCCTGAGCTGCATGTAGCCTGACCCAGTCAAGTGTCCGATGCCTCACTCTCAACTTGGGACACAGAACATTCCCCACAGATGCTTGTGGGTAGGAAAAGAATGGTGAGGGGATAGGAGAAAGGCCAAAGGGTAGAGGGAGAGAGAGCCGGAATCATCATTACCGTTAGGTGTGCTGCCCGCCCAGCCTGCCTCTCCCCCCATTTGGACAAGACTGGGAAGTCTGCTCCTCCACATCACCCAGTGCATTGTGCCTGGCCTCCCCATGTTCGGGGCTGCCACACTGACAGAGGGACCCACAAAATCATCACCTCCTCACCAGCTTCTGCTTCCCTGCCAAACCTTCTGATGAGGAGATGTAGTCAGGAGCCCACACAAAGGGGCTTTTTATAACACATCGGACCTGGAACTCGGGAAGCAACTCAAAGAAAACCCACCTCTCCTCAGCCATGGAAATGAGCTTGAATTTGCATCGAGGTAGGCAGAGCAGAGGCAGTCATTGCCAGCAGGCTGGGACGATGGTCTAATCCCATTTAGGGACACTCTGTGCAATGACTTATGGATAACGAGTGCTTTAAAACCCTCCGGTCATTCGCTGGCACGAGACTTTTTACAGCGGTGAGAAGGAGTGAATCGACAGAGGTGATCTCGCCGCTCCTGGGCTCTCACCGGTGATTCGTTGGACATAAATTCTGCCACAGTCTATTAACAAATACAGCTGAAAGTCGGTGCCTCTGCTTTCCATGTGGCCTCGCAGAAACAAGAGCAGTAACAGGGTAATCAATACTTCCTGTTTGCTGCAGGACCTGAGGTAAGTGAAGGCGGTCATAAGATTTCCATTTATTGACTATGATGTCAATAGGTTCCCATTCAGAGAATCATAAAACAAGTTATAGGCAATGTCAGGGTTGCTTATCCACAGGAAGGGCGCGCTGCGCATTTCACTTTTTAAAAGCCTACAGCCTTTATCTAAAGTAATCCATTCACATCGAATCTGGCAGGTGTCAAGACACATGATGTCCCGAGAAATGGACAGGCCTGGGGCTGCAGGATTCAAAGCCAAGCTTTGTTTCCTGACCTGAGTACTGAGGGGAGCCTGGGGTGCCTCTGTCTCAGGCATGCATGCAAGCTTGGCCTTGCTCCTGATCATGTACACACCCAAATGCTGCAACAAGCAAAGAAATGGCTAAACTTACTAGACGAGGAGGCCACATCTCCGTAGACTCATTTCCACCTCTAGTTCTCAAGCCCAGGAGAAGTCTGGAAAAAAAAAAAAAAAGAGCCTGGAATTTCAGTGATTAGAACCTGACATCTTGCAGTCATAGCGTGCTGACATGTGCAACAGGAATTAACAGGCATTCTCAACAAATGGGCATTAATGATTGCATAAGGGAAATCATTTATTTTAGCACTGAGAATCAGCATGGCAGTGCAGCGCCGGACCTTCAACAAAAGGGCACGCTGAAACTTTCCAAGGCCTTGTGCTCCTTCTTAAGAAGTCTGCTGGGGGACCTTAATTACGGGCTCAGTCGAGACACTTCCTACAATACAAAAACAAAGGAGGTCTATTTAAGACAGACAGAAGTTTCCACAGGCAGGCCCTGCAGATGCAGAGCAGGGGCTGAAGGATTCGGCCCAGTTGGGGGTCTCTAGAGAGATTAGAATTTTAATTGGTTCATCTTTTCAGAGCTGCTCACAGCCTTCCCCATTCACTCCTCAACAGCAGAGGCTTATTGTGTGTGCTGCGTGCCAGTCAGGGTCCTAGCTGCGGGGACAAGGAAAAGGGTCCAACGTGCCTGCCATCTAACTCCTAAGGGTGGGGGAATAAACATCCTGCGACCACAGGTCAGCGGTCTGGAGCTCTAGAAATCAAACACCTCACCTAGGATGGTAGAGTTGTACGATGGTTAAGAGCCTTGCGGCCACGTCTTTAACAAGTCCTGTGTCCCTGGCCAAGGAGCTTGACTGCTCTTGTGTCTTCCTCCTTTCACCCGTTTTTCTGAATGAAATCAATAGTCGTGCTTAGGGACACAATGAGAATCATCCAGTCAACTGATAAATGGGCATCAGGGTGTGCAGTGTGGGGTACCCACCTGCAGGGGGTGCTGGAGAGTGACCAGACACCATCACACCAGTGCTTCAGTGGGGCCCAGGTGATACAAGAGGAAAGAGGATGGTAGAGTTTTCCCTCCTGGGACGTGCATGTCTTTGGGAGTCTCTGACCCGTTTCTTCTGTACCATCTACCTGCTAAGTATGGACTAGCTGGCCTACACCTGTCGCTGGCATGTTTGACAAGCATATGTTGTATTGGATGTCCCAGGTGGCAGCTGGAGAGGCCTGGTGTTTCGAGGCCAGTGCCAGCCACCTCTGCTTTCGGTGTTATTGGATCTTTGAACTAGACTTCAGACTTGGAGTTGAACTGGAATAGGTTTAGACGTCGAGGGCTATTGGGAGAGGTGAGTGTATTTTGTGGGCAGGAACGCCGCGATGGAGGGGCAGAGGGTAGACTATGATAGGCTGAGTGCTACCCACTCTGATCCCTATGTTCAGGTCATGATCCCCAGCCCCTCAGACTATGAACCTACAAAATCCTTTGCAAGGTGATTCAGTTAGGATGTCCCTGGAATGGACTCTGAGGCACAATTTGGTCTCTTCATTAGAAGAGTTTGAGACATAGACACTCCAGGGGGTGAGGACAGGAAAACACAAGAGAGAGATACCCAAGAAAACCAACCCTGCCCACACCTTAGCCTGCCACCCCCAGCCCCAGCACTGTGAAGAAGCCCTCATCGATGAGGCTTTGACTAACCATGGGGCTTGTTTGTTTGTTTGTTTTGCTTTATTTTCTGATGGAGGAAAAAGTGGTAGGCTGGGCAGAAATTTGACTTTCAACTTTGAGCTTTTTTTCCCCTGGGTTAGGATGGGTTGTCCACTCCTATGGTTTCCCACTTCCTGGGAAGCTGGGGAGGTTCAAAGACTCTCTGGCCTGCTGTGTGGCTAAGCTGGGCCTTGTTGCAGGCTAGGTTGAGTGAACTCATTTTCTGTTTAAGGACACTGCCCCCTCTGGAAGCCTCTGAGGGCCGTTAGCTGTTTAAGCCACCTGGAGGGACTTAGTTCATTGTGGCAGCTCATACAGAGTTTTGAAAGAATTCCCTAGTTTTTTCCCCAGGGACCTGGCTAAGAAGCTCAGGTTGCTACCAGATAGTGTGACAACCAGAGACGAGCTTCCTGCCTGACTTCTCTCCCTTGCTCACCGACGGGCCCTGACCACCCGCTGACTCTCAGCACCCTCTCTGAAGATGAAGGACTGGATACCATCCGCCATTAGATGTTTCCAGCAATGTCTTTCTGGTAAATAATAATAATAACAACAGCAACAAACACCCTGAATGTTGACCTTTTTTCTACAACGAAGTGGTTTCCTTGAACAAGGAAACGACAGGACATGAGGAGAATATGGATTCCATGTTCTGATGGCTGTGGGGAGGTCAAGAGATGAAGCTCAGGATAGACATCACAGTCAGGGATCCTCAAACAACTGGAGGACACAGATGTGGCACAGTTTGAAAGTTGTATAAACATCTTTAAAGAGTGTGTTCTAGAAGGCACTTATCCAGGGTTCCCTGAGACAGGAAAGGGCTATGTCCCCCACTATGCTCTGTGTTGCCTGGAACTTGAGAGAAAGTAGTGATAGAACGTGGGCACCCTTCCCAGTATTTGTCAAGGGCATTTGTTGTATGACTTCAACTTTGTGAGCTCCCAGACCTCACAGTGGATGAAGAGTGTCAGAGAGAGTTTGGAACGAGAGGCAGGAGGAGGAAAGGCTTGGAGGGCTGGGAGTTAGTTTTTAGGGGAGTAGGTAACTCGGAAGAGTCTCATGAAGGAGGAGAGTCCACGCATTGTGGAGGCTGGTCTGAGGCGCACACTTTGCATTCCATTTTCAATCTCTGCTGAGAAGCCCAGAGAGGCGGGTTAAGTCATTTACAGGGTGATTAATTTTCTTGCGAGGGATATAGGCCTATTCCCGAAGGCCTCAAGTAATTCAAAACTAGCACAATTCAAGATTAATTCTCGGGAGGAGGAAATGTAAAGTAGGGTTTCCGTTAGCACGGAGTCTGTGCATAAACTGAGACTATTAATGCATTATAGATCACAACCTCTCATTCACACTGCTCAGAGCCACGGAACTCACGGCCACACCCTGCATGGATTGTGTGGCCAAGAGAACTACCTAGCAGACCCAAAGATGAACTGTTAGCTGTTCAAGGGACATGAAGACACCATGTTCAATGACAGGCCACCCCCATTGGGAATGTCCCATGTTCCAACCCCAGGAGGCCTTTTCTAAGGCAGTCCCACAATGCCTACCCCCCCCACCTCCAGCATTCTCCAAAGACTGTCCCCTGTGATGAGACAGGACAACCTAGTGGCCGAAAGGTTCAGCTCCAACTTTAGAGAGGTGTGTAAGTCTCTCTTTATCCAGAGAACCTCAGCAAGCCTCTCGCTTGCTTGGAACCTCACCAAGAACTTGTTACCATGCCCATTTGTTGTGGTGTGGTGTGTTTTTCTTGTGAGAGCTGAGGATCAAACTCAGTTCCTTGTACAAGCAAAGCAGGAGCTTCACCCATAGACCCATCTCCTCAGTCCTGTGTCTACACAGTCTACAGACATACTTTTTTATTCTCTGCCCCACCCCCCATCCCTCAGCTTTGGTTTTTTGAGATATAGTCTCACTCTGTAGCTCAGGTTGGCTTGACACTTCCTATAGAAACCAGGCTGTCCTTTGAATTCATGATAATCTTCCTGCTTCAGCCTTCCAAGTGCCAGGATTACAGGTGTGTGCCACCGTAGCCAGGTTTACATCTATACTGTCCACCCCAATTTTGTTGGATGCAGAACCAGGCAAGGCTTGCCTTCCTTGTGACTCTCTAGCCACGGGGCAAAGCTGGGACCCTCCAGACAGGACTAGCACCAGAGTCACCCCGTGTGACCAGTCAGCGCAGATATGCTTTGTGGGTGCGCTGGCATTTCAATAATGGTGGGACACTATGCATTGTAAAAACAGGCACATCATGGCTTCCTAGGGGCTCATAAAAATAATTGTGATCCAGCCTGGCCTCTGTCACTAGTAATTTATCGAATTGCCCCTCTTTTCCTTAATGCAGTTTATAAAAGTCGAGCGAAGTTTATGCAAATGAGACTTCAAGTTGGGAAGTGGCATGTGTAGGTCTGAAGAAGATATTTTCCAATTCTTTGAATCCCTGATGGAGGCAGGTGAAATGGCCACAAGACACACTGCTATGGGAAGGCAGGCAGCCACGACCCTTCCTCAGAGAGCCAAGTGAAGGCTTCCTGCTTCTGCTGCTCTAGGACCACATCCCTTAAGACAGCCTTGACCCCATCCACCTCCACCTGGCACTGCCACCCGGCCCACTGATGCCAAGTCCTGAGCTTCGAAGGCGTCTTGCCCCTTGTGGGTCAGGTACTCTGTTTCTTGACACCATTCTACCAATCTGAAAGGCTGATGGGTGTGCCCAGCATGCCACGGCCCATGTGCCCTCAAGGACTAGTGACAGCTTCTACACTCAGACATGCTGTCCCCTCATAACCCAGATTCTCTGAGTCCTAATCTTCATGCCTCACTACGTGAGCTGTCAAGACACCTTGGGTGTGACCACTGCCCTTCCCTGCTATATTTCACTCACACACACTCTCTCTCTCTCTTTGATTTCCTCAGTAACCTTTGAACTCTTTCCTTATAGAAGCTCCTGAGCCCTATATGAGATGCCTGGTGGTTAGGAAGAAAGGGCATGAGAAAGATTAATGCCTCTTAAGCCATTCTGAGTTGTCTAGGCTAAGCCAAGTCCTCTCCTGGTAGTCCTGTACTGGTCTCCCAAAGAAAATTTCCTCATTACAATGCTCAATAAATGGGGTGGGGGACAGGTCACTGATGTGACACTTCCTGTGGCTTGACTATGAAACTCCCCCCACAGGCTTGAGTGTCTGAACACGTGGTCACCAGCTGGTAGCACTGATTCGGAAGGTTATGGACCCTTTAAGAGATGAAGGCCTGCCTGGGGAAATGAGTCACTTTTGTTGGGTCTGAGATCTAGAACCCAGTGCCACTTCCTGCTTGTTCTCTGTTTCTGTTCCCCTGGGGAGTGAGGAAGTGAGCTGCTCATTCCTATCTCTGTGGAACCGATGACATCATTTCTTCTTCTCCAGGACAGACTGGACCCCCTCGAACTGAGAGCCAAGG